TCTTCAACAGCATATCTAACTTGTTTGCCTAGCACCTTTGAAGCAGCAGCAGCAGCAGCAAAGACAAAAGGAGACAGTTGTTTAAATGCGTGTCTGCGCTATCTAATTAATATCTTCAACAGCATATCTAACTTGTTTGCCTAGCACCTTTGAAGCAGCAGCAGCAGCAGCAGCAAAGACAAAAGGAGACAGTTGTTTAAATGCGTGTCTGCTCTATCTAATTAATATCTTCAACAGTCTCTATTCTTATCTATATATACTCATTATTCTCATGCTCCTCCTGCTGCTGCTTGTGCTGCTGTTTGTGCTGCTGCTAATGCTGCTGTTTGTGCTGCTGCTGCTGCTGCTGCTGCTGCTAATCTGTGGGGCTCTGAATTAATGTTTGCTTCTAAGGGGATTTAACAAAATATAAAAAATAAATAAATAAATAAAAATAAGAAGAGACAACAGCCAGAAACAACAAAACAACAGCAGCAGCAAATCAGCAACAGCAGCAGCAGCAGCAACAGCAGCAACAGCAACGAACCGCCAATCCATCAAGCATTCGCTCAACTGTCTCTTGACAGACAGTCGGCCGCGGGCCTGCGTCCCCTGCTTCACTCATTGTGCTGCTGCTGCTGCTGCTGTTGCTGCTGTTGCTGCTGCTGCTGAATCTGCTGCTGTTGTTGCTGCGGCCGATGCTGGGCTTGCCGCCGCAGCAGTTGTCCCTGCGGTTGCTGCTGCTGTAGCTGCTGCTGCTGCTGCTGTCGCCTTCTCTGCTGCAGCGAGTTGCTGCAGAATGCTAAGGCTCCCCTGCGACAACGGGCTCGCTGCTGCTGCGCTGCAGCAGCAGCAGCAGCAGCAAAAACCAGGGCGTTTGAAGGGGCTCAGCCAACTGACACAGGTACTGCTGCCGTTGCTGCAGTTGCTGCAGTTGCTGCTGCTGCTGCTGCTGCTGTCGCTCCTGGTGTCGTTGCTGCTGCTGTTGCTGTTGCTGCTGTTGCTGCTGTTGTTGCTGCTGCTGCAACTGCTGCGTCTTCTAGTGCTGCGACTGCTGCATAGAGAAGACGACCCGTAAACCCTAAACCCTAAACCCTAAACCCTAAACCCTAAATCAGCTAGAGACTTGCCTGATTCTCTCCCTTTAAGTTCAAATGTCTGTAGTGAAATAATTAAATAATTAAGGAGATAACTGAGGACGGGGGTTTAGGGTTTAGGGTTTAGGGTTTAGGGTTTAGGGTTTAGGGTTTAGGGTTTGCATGCCTCGGCGCCGGCGGCCTTAACTCTCCAAACCCTTTGTTTACAGTATAAAAAGAGTTAAATAAATATAATTATTATTTATTAAATTATTTTATTTATTTTTTTATTTAATTTAATTTTATTTTTATTGGTTCTGCGGCGGGGCAGAAAAGAGAGGGGTCTTCTCTTATGTGTTGCCTTGGCCTGCTGCTGCTGCTGCTGCTGCTGCTGCTGTTGCTGCTGCTGCTGCTCTGCAGCAGCAAGTAGTGAAGCTGTTGCAGCAAAAATAAAGGGTTTTATTTAAAGTAGAATTAATAGATAAACAAAACGAAGAAAACAAATTGTACTACGCAAAGCAGAGAAGTATACTAAAAAACATGCATGATATTCCTGCTGCTGCTGCTGCTGCTGCTGCTGCTGCTGCTGCTGCTGCTGTACAGACCATTCCTTGTCTGTAGCCACCCTGACTTTCTTATAAAGCAGCAGAAGGCTGGTGAAGTTTAATTATTAAAAAGAAATAATAAAACTATTTATTTCTCTTCATTTATCAACATATATATTTGCTGCAGAGGGTTTAGGGCCGCAGCAGCCGCCATAATATCTCGCTGCTGCTGCTGCTGCTGCTGCTGCTGCTGCTGCTGCTGCTGCTGCAGCAGCAGGAGGGGCCCCCAAGGGCCCCTTCTGTGCGGCCCTTAGCAGCAGGCGCGCTTCTCCTTCGTTTTTATTTTGCTGCCGAGGCTTTACAGATGTTCATCCTTATGAAGGGTTTAGGGTTTAGGGTTTAGGGTTTATGGCTTAGGGTTTAGGGTTTTTAGGATTTAGGGTTTAGGGTTTACACATCTTCCGTGCTGCTGGAAGTAAGAACTTCCAGCAGCAGCAGCAGCAACAACAATAACAACACCAACAACAACAAGAACAGCAGCAAGCAGCAGCACTAGCAGCACCAGCTTGAACAGCAGCAGCAACAACAGCAGCAGAGTGATGGTGCTGCTGTTTAGTGCTGCTGTTTGAGGTGTGCATACACCGCAATGCCTCCACAAGAGGGCAGAAGGAGACGCCACAGCCAACGGTGCTCACGCCAGCAGCAGCAGCAGCAGCAGCAGCAGCAGCAACAGCAGCAGCAGCAGCAGCTGTCAGAAGATGAGGAGCTCCAGCTAGCCCTTGCGCTATCCCTCTCCCTGCAGCAGCAGCAGCAAGAAGAGCAGAGGCAAAAGCAGAAGCAAAACGAGGATAAACCGCAGCAGCAGGAGCAGCAGCAGCAGCAGCAGAAGGAGCAGCAGCAGCAAGACGACGCTCAACAGCAGCAGCAAGAACAGCAGCAACAGAAAACGAAGGCATGCGATGGCGAGGCAGCGCACGTGAACAGCAGCAGCAGCAGCAGCAGCAGCAAAAGCAACAGCAGCAGCAGCAGCAACAGCAGGAGGCAGCGCGCCGGCAGCAAGCAGGAACCACGCTTCAACGATCAGCAGCAACGCGAGCAGCAGCAGCAGCAGCAGCAGCAGCAGCTTCTCGGGCCTCAGGGGAGAAGGCGCGGCCGCCTGAGCAACAGCAGCAGCAGCAGCAGCAACAGCAACATACAGGAGCACGCAGGAGCAGAGAGCAGCAGCAGCAGCAGAGCGCATCGAAAGAGATTGCGTAATGAACAGATCAGCAGCAGCAGCTGCAGCAGCAGACGAAACAGCAGCAGCAGCAACTGCAGCAAAGAAGATGAGGATCTGCAGCTAGCCTTGGGCCTCTCCCTTTCTGAACTCGCCGCCTCCAGCCACCGCAGCAGCAACAGCAGCAGTAGCAGCAGTAGCAGCAGCAGCAGTAGCAGCAGCAGCAGCAGTAGCAGCAGCAGCAGCAGCAGTAGCAGCAAATGTGAGGCCGATCCAAAGAGCAGCCACTCAGAACGCCACTTCAACGTGGAAAGCAGCAGCAGCAGCAGCGGCAACAGCAACAGCAGCAACAGCAGCAACAGCAGCAGAAGCAACAAGGGCAGCAGCAGCAGCAGCAGTAGCGAGTTGCAGACACCCCAGCAGGTAACGGGCCGATGCAGCAGACGCCGCGTTGCTGCTGCTGCTGCTGCTTCTGCCAGCAGCAGCAGCAGCAGCAGCAGCGAGAGCGACGTCAGCAGCAGCAGCAGCAGCAGCAACAGCAGCTGGGGTAGCGACGCGGAGTTCTCAGCAGGCAGGGGGCGCCGCCGCAGCAGCAGCAGCAGAAGACGCCGCTGCAGCAACGGAGCAGCAGCAACGCGAAAAGCAGCAACAAGTCGCACGAACAGCAGCAGCAGCAGCAGCAGCAAATCGGTGCTGGCACAGCGGCGCGCTGCGCTGCGGGCTGAGCGCAAGCAGCAACGTCAGCGAGCAGCAGCAGCAGCAGCAACAGCAGCAGCAGCGTGGAAAGAAGAGAAGCTGCTGGCAGCAAGAGACTTCCTCTGGGATGTCCTCACAGGCGTGCAGCCGCTGATCCCGCTGCAGCAGCAGCAGCAGCAGCAGCAGCGCCAGCAGCAGCAGCAAGCAACGCAAGTGCAGCAGACACTCACGAAGCTGCAGGGCGACCTCACAACAGAAGCAGCAGAGATGCAGCAGCAGCAAGAACAGCAGCAGCAGCAGCAGCAGCAAGTAGCACCCGTTGCAACTCATACCGCTGCAACAGAGACCCAGTGTAGTATTAATAGTAATAGTAGCAGCAGCAGCAGCTCCAGCAGCAGCAGCTCCAGCAGCAGCAGCAGCAGCAGCGGCACATTTCATAACTATGTAACACTTGAGAGACTGCGAGAAGTAGCAGAAGCGGCGTCCCTTGATCTGAACGAGAAAGACCTTATCGACATGATTGCTGCTGCTGCTGCTGCTGCTGCTGCTGCTTCTGCCGCCCCTCACGATGCTTCTGCAGCAGCTGCTGCTGCAGCAGAAGCAGCAGCAGCAGCAAAGAAACAGTATATCACATTCGCGGAGTTTGCTGCTGTTTTTAATCATGCAGGCCTACGAATAGAAAAGAACGGCCATGTGTGGTAGCAGCAGCAGCAGCTGCAGCAGCAGCTGCAGCAGCAGCTGCAGCTGCAGCAATACCAACAGCAGCAACAGCAACAGCAAATGCTGATGCTGCTGCTGCTATGCTTGTTGTGTTGCCGCAGCAAACGCTGCCTCCGTTCCTGTTGAAAAAACTTCTCTCTCTGCTCACCAGCTGCTGCTGCAGCAGCAGCAGCAGCAGCAAACACCTGCTGCTGCTGCTGCAGCAGCAGTAGCAGCAGTTTATGAGTTTTGGATTTGTTCTATTGCTGCTTCTGCTAGGCTAGCGTGTGCTGCTGTCGCTGTTGCTGCTGCTGCTGTTGCTGCTGGTTCTAGTGTTGCTGCTGGTTCTAGTGTTGCTGCTGCTGCTGCTGTGATGCTGCTGCTGTTGCTGCTGCTGCAGGGCATTCAAATGTCTCCTCAGTTGCTTCTACTCATTATTCTGCTCATTGCAGCGGGTTTGCTGTCTCCTCTTCTGCTGCTGCTGCATCTGCTGCTGCTGCTGCATCTGCTGCTGCTGCTGCTGGGGATTCGGGGGGAATGAGGACGACCTGCAGCAGCAGCAGCAGGAAGAGCAGCAGCAGCAAGAGGATACAGCAGCAGCAGCAAGAAGAGACAGCAGCAGCAGAAGACAACAAAGAAAACAAAGAAAATAAAAAAATAAATCAAGAGACAAAAACGGAAAGGAGACAAACAAAAAAAATATAAAAAACAAACAAATACACAAAAAACAAACAAACAAATAAATAAAAAGAAAAACAAAAGGAGACAAACAAAGCGACAAAAGGAGACAGACAAAGACAAAAGGAGACAGACAAAGCGACAAAAGGAGACAGACAAAGACAAAAGGAGACAGATAAAGACAAAAGGATACATATAAAGACAAAAGGAGACAAACAAACAGACAAACAAAGCGACAAAAGGAGACGAACAAAGAGAGAGAAAGAGACAAATAAAGAGACAGACAAAGAGACAAAGAAAGAGACAAAAGGAGACAATTAAAGAAACAAGCAAAAGGAGACAAAAGGAGACAGACAAAGAGACAAAAAAAGACACAAAGAGACAGAAGAAGACAAGGAAAAAGACAAAGAAGGAGACAGAGAAAGAGACAGAGAAAGAGACACAGAAAGAGACAAAGAAAGAGAGAGATAAAGAGACAGATAAGGAGACAAAGAAAGAGACAAAGAAAGAGACAAAAGGAGACAGAAGAATGTGCTATATATATATAAATATATATTACCCTCTCTACAGCGTCGAGCGAAGTCAAAAACACTTCGCCATCTCGAGCAAAAAAGAGACAGCAGGCATTAGGAGACCCTAGCAGCACTGCCTGCTGCTGCTGCTGCTGCTGCTGCTGCTGCTGCTGCTGCTGCTGTTGCAGTTTGCTGCCGGCAACAGCTTGGGTGAGGAATGCATGAGAAGGAGCGATGGATTGAGGAGACAGTCTGTTTGCTGCTGCTGCAACAGCATATGAAGGTGCAGCAGATGCAGCAGCAGAAGCAGCAAGTTCTGCTGCTGCTGCTGCTGGGGGGACAGACTCGCAATATCCCATCGGGCTTATATAATCTCTTGCATCTTCTTCTTCTATGGGAGGCAGGGGCAGCTGCTGCTGCTGCTGCTGCTGCTGCAGCAGCAGCTGCAACATGCTGCTGCCAGGAGGCGCCCCCTCTGCTGCGGCTCTTGCTGCGTGCATGCGAGCGCAGGCACCGATAGCAGCAGCAGCTGCTGCTGCAGGTAGCTGCTGCACTGCTGCTGCTGCTTCTTCACTCTCCAGGTGTATGTACACCAGAGATCCTGCTGCCATCGTAAGCTCGCGGCGACCTAGTAATTCAAGCCGACGCTGCTGCTGCTGCTGCTGCTGCTGCTGCTGCTGCTGCTGCTGCAGGGGAGCAGCAGGCACAGCAGCCATTTGAATATCGAACGCATCAACGAGAGGAAGAGACTCCAAGTCGCTCAGGTCTTGCAGCCGGTGTCCTGTGCACAAACCCTAAACCCTAAACCCTAAACCCTTGTTTCTGAACAGAGGGCTGGTGTATAGCGAAGCGACAAACAAAGAAGACAAAAGGAGACAGACGGAGAGCAAAAGAGACAGACAAAAGGAGACAGCTAAAGAAGAAGCAGAAGCAGAGAGACAGTTAGAGAAGGAGACAAATAAAGAAAGAGACAAACAGAGACAATTAAAGAAATGAGGGTTTTTATGGTTACGAATCATCTGCAGGAGATGCCGGAGATCCTGCACTGTCACGATGCTGTTGCAGTCGTCGTCTTCCTGCTGCTGCTGCTGCTGCTGCTGCTGCTGCTGCTGCACTGGCAGCAGCAAACGACTTTGCTCCCACGAGCAATCAGACAAAACAAAGCCTGTGAAGGTTCGGCGGACTCGAGGCGGCCAGCCATACGATACGACTTGCCTGCACAAACCCTAAACCCTAAACCCTAAACCCTAAACCCTAAACCCTAAACCCTTAGAGCTTAGCTCTCGGGCAAACCATCAACCCCGCAACTTTAACAATAAACCCAAACCCTAAACCCTAAAGAAGCGGAGGAGATGAAGAGTCAAGGAAACAAAACACCCTTAATTAATACTAAACCCTAAACCCTAAACCCTAAAGGCATCTAGTGCTAAACCCTAAACCCTAAACCCTAATTCTGAATACAAACCGGATAACTTCTTCTGCTCGACGCCGCCAGGGGGAGTCGAGAGGATCGTCAATCTGCAGACACACCCAAACCCTAAACCCTAAACCCTAAACCCTAAACCCTAGCTCGTGGGTTTCAAACCCTTCACGAACCTCAGAGCTCAGCGCTTGATCTTGTCAGCCAACAGCCACGCAAGACGAGTGTAGGGTTTAGGGATTAGGGTTTAGGGTTTAGGGTTTAGGGTTTACCTGCCCCATATCGGCGCCTAAAGGAGAGCGAGGGTTTGCAAATGCATAGGAAGCATCTAAGAAGAAGAAACCCTTGTCCGGAGTCAGCGAAGGCTATAATGCGCACAAAGCAAACAAACCCTAAACCCTAAACCCTAAACCCTAAAGCCTGTGCATCGTTAGGCAACACATAAGTTGGGACTGTACTCCAAACCCTAAACCCTAAACCCTAAGAAGACACCGCGGCATCGTGAATTCGATCGCCTAGGGTTTATGGTTTGCAAAGGCTTAGGGTTTAGGGCTTAGGGCTTAGGGTTTACTGGTGACTCGCATGACTTCACAAGAGACGAGTTCAGGGTCTAGGGTTTTAGGGTTTAGGGTTTAGGGTTTACTTGGGGCTGGTTTAATTCTACAAGAGGCAGCGGCTCTCCGTCCAAGACAAAACCCTCGCCTGCAAACCTCTCAAACTTCTCGCGGGTTGTCGGGCTGAGAAAAACACAATTAGGGTTTAGGGTTTAGGGTTTAGGGCTTAGGGTGGGGGCTTCATAGAGGGAACAACCTAAACCCTAAACCCTAAACCCTAATCCTCACTTGTAATGTCTTTTGAGGTTTTCATATACTTTAAGCACGCGAGGCTCGAGCAGCTTCTCCTCGTCTTCGTCTAATATCCACTCTGAAACATAAACCCTAAACCCTAAACCCTAAACCCTAAACCCTAAACCTTAATCATCACTTGGAATGCCTCTGCGCCGACGGCGCAGTACGCCTGCACAAATCTGTAGACTTTAGTTTGTAAGAGCACAAGGTACAAACCCTAAACCCTAAACCCTAAACCCTAAACCCTAAACCCTAAACCTACCCTCTCGTGGCTGTTCTTCGCGGCGCGCCCACTTCGCTTCCTCAGCCATGGCTTCTGCGATTGTCTGCAACAAAACCCTAAACCCTAAACCCTAAACCCTAAACCCTAAACCCTAAGCGCCAAGCCCTAAACCTTGCGTATGAGCCTGTCATCAAAGGATTTAGGGTTTACAAGGGTTTACCGTCGGGCTAGAGATTAACAGGGTTTAGGGTTATAAAGGGTCTAGGGTTTAAAAAGGGTTTAGGGTTTAGGGTTTAGGGTTTAGGACCTCAACAGTCTTGCGATAAGGGATGCCTTTCCCCTCTTTTGTTGGTGCTGCGCACACATTGCAATTCAAAACCCTAAACCCTAAACCCTCGGCCTCAGCAGCCTATGTGCAGCAGCAGCAGCAGAAACTACAGCAGCAGCAGCAGCAGCAGCAGCAGCAGTGAGAAGCACCTTCAGGCCAAGGCCCCAGGCCCCTGTAGAGTTTTTCGTATTCCAGCAGATCCGTCTGACGAAAGCAAAAACCCTAAACCCTAAACCCTAAACCCTAAACCCTAAACCCTAAACCCTAAATGCCAGGGTTTTCTGGTGTCTCGTGCATGCACACAAAAGATGAAGGCTAGGGGGATGTGTCTAGGGTTTAAGGGTTTAGGGTTTAGGGGTTTAGGGTTTTGGTAGCTGAGTGGAGGTTTAGGGTTTTAGGGTTTAGGAACCGACGCCTAAGGGTTTAAGGGTTTGGGTTTAAGGGTTTAGGGTTTAAGGGTTTAGGGTTTAAGGGTTTAGGGTTTAAGGGTTTAGGGTTTACTGACATAAACTTCTGGAGGCTCCTGGTCTACAAGATGCTTCATCTCTCCGTCAAGATACACCTCAAAATCTGCAGCAGCAGCAGCAACAGCAGCAGCAACAACAGCAGCAGCAAAGGCAGCAGCAACAGCAGCAGCAGCAGCAGAAGCAACAAGGCTGGAAGGAACCGCTTAGCGGATATTACTGCTTTTCTTGTTGCTGCTGCTGCTTTGGCTGCTGCTGCTGCTGTTGCTGGCGCTGCTACTCTTGTCTTGTTGCTGCTGCTGCTGCTGTTGCTGCTGCTGCTGCTGCTGCTTACTGTTGTCTCCCTCCGTCCCCTTAACAAGAAGGTCAGGCTCATCCTCTTGCAGCAAATCCTTAGCAAAGTAAATGCGCTTCTTGCTGCTGCTGCTGCTGCTGCCGTTGCTGCTGCTGCTCTTGCTGCTGCTGCTGTTGCTGGTGCTGTTGGCGTTGCTGGCGTTCGCGCTGTCGTCGGCGCTGCTGCTGCTGCTGCTGCTGCTGTTGCTGTTACTGCTGCTGTTGCTGTTGCTGCTGCGCCGACGTAGTCGTTCGTTGTACGCAGCAACTCGCTGCTGCTGCTCTTGCTGCTGCTGCTGCAGCATCTGCTGCCGCATAGCTTCATCTATAAAGAGGTTTGCAGGGGCAGCAACAAACGGGTAATCCCTAAGACACACGCAAACGCATTGCTGCTGCTGCTGTTGCTGCTACTGCTGCAGCAGCTGCTGCTGCTGCTACAGGTGGTTGTTGTGACGCTGGCTGCGTGGTGCTGGCAACTGCAGCAGCAACTGCAGCAGCAGCAACTGCAGCAGCAGCAACTGCAGCAGCAGCAACTGCAGCAGTAGCAACTGGAGCAGTAGCAGCAGTAGCAGCAGCAGGAGCAGTAGCAGCAGCAGAAGCAGCAGCAGCAGCAACAGCAGCAAATCCTACTCCACGTCAATATCATCATAGGGGTCGTCCTCTGCCTCATCTGCTGCAGCAGCAGCATCAGCAGCAGCAGCAGCACTTAATGCTGCTGCTGCATTTAACCGCCTTCTTATTGAAGATCTGAAGTGAGATGGCTTAGCTCCTGCTGCTGCTGCAGCTGCTGCTGCGCTTATTGCTGCTCTTTTTACCGCTGCTGCGGGTTTGCTGTATTTGCTGCTGCTGCTGATATTGCTGCTGCTGCTGCTGCTGCTACTGCTGTTGCTGCTGCTGAAGTTGTGACGATGTGGTTTTATGGGTAGCAGCCAAGCACTCCAAACGCGCTTAGCTGTTGCTGCTGTTGCTGCTGCTGTTGCTGC